GAGTCATTGGTAATGCGAGGTAACAGCAATTGTTTAGTGGTTAATTCTGTTCAATATTTCAAAGGAAATGAGAAATTTATCTCCTGCACGGTCTCCCCTTAAAACACTAACTACAACGTTTGAATTAGATGTGAAAAATGTCTTTGAGACGACTCCAAGCAAGTATGTGAAAATGGCATAAAAATGATAAAAATATGACGAAAATTCATTGAACAATAATACCATAATATGAAATATAAATGAAAAATATCAGAAGAGTTAAAAAAAAGCCAAAATATGACTGTATAAGACACGCAATTGCATGATTTTAGTGAATGTAGATAAAATCATGCTTAACCTATATTACCATGGAAATAAATAGAAAAAAGAAGAAAATTAAGTGGTGCTAGAGAATGGCACAGACTATCCCGTATTAGTTTTTTTATTTTCATTGGTCTCGGCTAGCTATTCTGACTTGTTACATACTCTTGCCAGCTGCCATCTATCGCCGCCCTAATTACATTCTCCCCCCCCCCATTTTCTCAATTTTCCCCCCTAATAGTAGAACTAAAATATGACCGAGAATAGTATAAAAGAGTAAAACCTCGCTTACATAGAAATATTTGTTGAAAAATGCAGAGCCGTCTCGGCTCCGCCTGGATTTTTAACTTTTGGCCTCTGGAGTAATAACACTCATAACATTTATAGGTATGTTAATAGCTCTAAAATTATTGAAACTTTGTTGTAAATAAATTACGAATAATATTTCATATTATTCATCTTTTCGATTTGCCCGAATATTACAAAAAATGGCCTAATACTAAATGCGGCTCTCACTCACGCCTAATATTTCCAATGTGTCCCTCAAGCCCTTAAAAGTTGGAAACTGCTGTATCGGATATAAGCATAGACGTAAGTAAAGGTGTTTTCTTTCTTTTCTTTTAGTACTGATTTCTTAATTACTTTAGTTAGAAGGCAAGTGAAGTAAACATGTGGTTTGGGGTTGAGGACTGGCGAGGCGGAGGAACTCACTAGAAAATAATTGGGCGAATAAGGCGGGAAAAATACATTCCTGCCTTATAGACTGTGATAAATGAATACCTGGGGAACTCGGGGCACTTTACCTTCATGTTAAAAGATTCACCGACACACTCGATAAAAATTGTAAATTTTTAATGATACTTTATCTTTTTTCACCTAAACTGGCGAAGAGTGTGTAGTTATTTGTGTTAGTGTTTACGCAAATGTGTAATGTTTACGCAAAACCTGGGCATTACCTTGTAGTAGGAAGACAAACTATCTAATTCATAAATCAGCCTGTTCCAACTTGGCCTCTCGCCGACACGAGCGCCCGAGGGCGTCTGCGTGCAATCGTGGCTAGCCCAGGGGTTGGGAGGGGGAAGCTCTCATCTCATTTTCGCTTTGCTTTTTGTGGAAGGGATACGAGTAGAGCATGACTGGCAGAAGAAGCCACAACCCCTTTTTCTGTCTCACCATACCATCGCCGATGCAGTTGGAGATAATAGAATTGCAGATTTGCAGAACTCTATACTTCTAAAGGAGATATTTTAATACCCTTAATTTGTCGTGGCAGTATCAGAATTTACATATGGAAGTCTTTCACAAGCTTCGTAACAATTCAGCAAAAAATATATCTATGTTCGGGTCAACTTATTGTCGTGAGCAGCTTTTTTCTGTAATGACAAGAAAAAAACTCAACTTCAGGAGCATTCATTGAAGAGCGTTCTACGCATCGCAACAACCAGGACTGTAATAACATGTAACTTTGCTTCACTTGTCAAGAAAAAGAGACGTCTAAAATTATCTTAATAACATATTTTTGTCGAATTGAATCGATTTGTACGTTTTCTGTTATACATAAAAGTTTATTTCTGAATTAATCCCCAACCCAACCGCTCCCTGCTTCGGCTATCTGCGACGTAATATCGCCAAGGCCAACGCAAACTCGTGCCTTAAGGCAAGTCGCAAAATGAGACGCAG